CCTCCCCTCCTCCTCCTCCTCCTCCTCCTCCTCCTCCTCCTCCAAGGGTCCCGAAAAGTTCGCGGAGCTCGTCGCCCACATCGCGCCCTCGCTCCAAACTCTCCGTCTCGACGGCGCAGGCCCCGGCGCGCCGCCACCTGCGTTTGCCCACCGGCTCCTCTTCGCCGTCCGCTTCGCCGACTTCCCCATTCGCGCACAACCAGTACCTCCTCTTCGAAGAAGCTGGCAATGCTCGCGACATCTCCGACTCCCTCAGGCGGCGCTTGGCGAGTACGTGTCCCCTCTTTCTCGCACTCGTCCGACCTCCCCACATCTCCAATTCTGGATCGCTCCCCGGTTCGCCACCTCGTCGACGAGGTGCGCTCGCTCTCCGTGCATTCCGGGCCTTCTCGGTCGAAGCTCCCGCCGTACTCTTCCGTGCGCCGGTTCGCCACCTCGTTGACGAGGTGCGCGTGCTCTCAGTGCATTCTGCGCCTTCTCGTGTCTCTCCTTCACTCCCCTTTTTATTGCCGCTGGCCCGCTCTGGGAGCTGCGGTATGTACCATAGCTACCGACGGCTGGCCCACACCGAGAGCTGCTCGTCGTAGCTGTCCACTGCCCGTTGTACGCTTTTCCCCCTTGCCGTGGGGCATATCATATTATATCATATTATATGAGTTTGAATTGGTCCCTGCATCATTGGCGTTCTCTGCGTACATTGGCTACGCGGTACGCCTGCTTGCCCGGTGCTTTCTGTCCGTTCTGCACTTGTCACGGCACCCCTACACTATGCTACCGCCGCTGCGACCTCACGGCGTACGCCCTACAGCAGTGCGATGACTCGGTAGACCCCTGACCAACATGACGTTCTCTCCTATGGCGGTTTGGCCTCCTGCCCAACATGTGTGGCGACGCGCACCTACGCACCATTCCCCTCACTGCCATCTATGGCGCAAAGCCGTACCTCGCCCTTGGACAACGTCACCGCGCCGCGATTGCGCGCCTGATAGCTAGCGCGCATCCCTATGCGATTGAACGCGGGCGGCACCTCACATCACGACGGCGGACCAAGATCCCACGTGCACAGAGGACGTGCCGCTTCTGCGACTATGGGACGTGGAGACCGAGGTCCATGTGATCCTCAGATGTGCGGGCAGACTATTGCAGGCGCGTAGAACGCAGGTCCTGGAGGACGTCATGGAGGAGTACGATGACCTGGGGTAATGGAGAGGAAAGGATCTCGGTGCGAGGTTCCTTGCGCTCTGC